TGCACTATGAACCTGAAGTAATTGGCGCTGCTTTGATCCTACTCTTGAATTTATTCATACTCATATGGTTGTAGACCGGCTACCACTCTTTTGTAGCGGTTGAACTGAACCTCTCTGGTGAGGCATTGCCTGTTGTGTTGTCCAGCACCGCCATTCTTCAGGCGAGGCATGCCTGTTGTGTTGTCCAGCACCACCAGGGATGGAATTTTGAACTGAGGCCTTTGGTGAAGCATAGCCGTTGAGCTAGCTTGTTGTGTTGTCCAGCACCACCAGGGCCAACTTACTAAACTGAAATTCTTTGGTGAAGCATAGCCGTTGAGCTAGCTTGTTGTGTTGTCCAGCACCACCAGGGCCAACTTACTAAACTGAAATTCTTTGGTGAAGCATAGCCGTTGTGCTAGCTTGTTGTGTTGACCAGCACCACCAGGGATGAGTTTTTGATTTGCAGCTTCGCTACACCCTGAATTTCTTCCAGATATCTGGGACTATACGTCCTATTTCAAGCCTTTTGCCTGTTTTATCTGGCTACGCGATAACTCCCTATTGGATCATGACTATTCGATAAGTTGGATTGGCGTGTATTTAGTACTTCAAATTGATAAGTGATATTTGATAAGCCATGCTTTACTGGATCATGACTATTTGATAAGCTGGATTTGGATACTCCTTAGTACATGATTTCGATAAGTGAGATTGGAACAATTCTTAGTATTTGACCGACTTTGGGAAGACAAATTGGACCTGGTGAATGCAAGTTGGATTAGATGGAATTCTAATGCTTTAATGGTTTTTGAACGATATCTTGACCAGATGTATATGAGGTAGAATGTCGAGGACGACATTGTTTTAAGGAGGGGAGATTGTGACGCCCCGACCAAAGGAGGGTTTCCTTTTATACAAGTTTTTGTTGAACGAGCGGAATAGCACCATTTTGAACTTGGAAAAGAAAAGAAAAAAATTTTGGAAATATGAGGGGGGCCAAATCCGGCCGGAAATCCGGCCAGTTTCTGGCCGGATAGCTGGCCGGATTGCCCAGCCGTTTTGAAAAAAAATTGAGGAGCTCTCGGCCTTGAATCCGGCCAAGAATCCGGCCGGAAATCCGGCCAGATTCCGGCCGGATTCTGACGTGGCATGTCGGCCAACAGCTTTGACCAGCTGATTTCTCTGTCTTTTTATACTGTTTTGCACCCCAAAAATATCTCATTTTGCTTCAGCTCAACCGAGCTCTTTGAGAAAAGAAAAACTCTTCCATTTTCTAGTTTTAATTTCTACCAAAATCTTGAGTTTTCACCAATGATTTTGGACAATACTTCATACAAGGGCTCACTATGGTGGACTAAGGCTCTTGATGGATTGGATTTGGATGGGGTGCTCCATGTTGATAGCTTCTTGAATTTGGGAGGTAAGTTGGATAAACAAGTTTCCTTTTGTCTAAAATTGGTGAATTGGTGGTTTGTGGTGATTAAATGTGTTATATTGTGGAGTATTTCATGGGTTTAAGGAATTTGTGGTGAATTTCTAATTTATGGAGTATTTTCTGATTTTATAAGAAAGTTTTGATTAATGTTAAAGTGATGGATTGAAATGATGTTAATTGGAACCCTTATGCGTTAATTGTGATCATTTGCGGAAAATTTACGTGGTAGTGTGATTTCCGGTTTTAGGGTTTAAATTGGGGATTTTCTTGTGATTGGTTTGTTGGCTTTGATTAAGGGGTATTGTGGCCCTAATTAAGTATATTTTCTAGTCTATAAATTGTATGTGAAAATGAGGTTGAATTGAGGTATATTTGGTATTTGAATGGTAGGTTGGAAATGTGTAAAATTAAGGGGTTATGCCGTCCAATTTTTGAGAATATGTGTTTGTTTTGAATTTGAATTGATCTTACTTCATTTTATGGAAATTCTTATGATTTGGACATTGGGAGGATTAAGTTCCATATTAGTGACATTTCTAAACTTTGTTTATGTTAATTCATCCTTGTTTTGGCATGTACACGATTAGTATGGGCTAGTCCCATGTTAAGTGGGGATTTATAGTCCTTAATTGTGATTAGTGATGGTTAGATGCAAAGGTTGGTTCAAGAAGGGTAATTTCAGTTTTTTCCCTGTTTCTGGACTGAACTTGGACTGTCATTTTCTCTGTGTTTTAGACCGAACCAGCTTTTGCTCAAAACATGAATTTTGTAGATATATGAGTTAACTACTTGTCTGCAAAATTTCAGATTGATTGGACCTCTGTAGCTTGAGAAATGACTGAATTGCCCTGACTGCCTATAAATCCTGTTTTGCGGACAGTTTTCTGTCCTCTCCTAGATTTCGATATTTGACCCTGAAATTGTATGTTTTAACTTTGGAGGTCTTCATAAGAAATGTTGGCATATGCTTTAGCTTTGTAACGCCATAAGATTTGTTTCGATCGGATAGGTGTAGCTTTACTTGTGATTAAAATGCCAAAAGGCAATAGAAGCTTGTTAATGTTAGAATTTTCCTTTGCTTGACTTGATATTTGGTTTTAGGATTTCAACTTGATCAAGATTATGAGGCTTGCCGAATAAGCTTCGTGAGCCGTGCTTGGTGAGTGTATCATTAAATGGTTCAATGTACTTGTTATATGACTTGAATAGGTCGAGGGTGTACTTTACCGCTCTTGACCACTTGCTTGCACTATTGTTACAGTTGGACTGTGAAATTTCATGAATATGTGATTTGATATTTGCTAGGGCAATGCCCTATTATTTCTGTGAAAACTGAGCTCATTCCCTTGGACCGTTATTTGAGTCGAGCCAGCAAGGGCTTGGGCGATTCGTTAACGAGCCTTCGGGTCTCTGATAGGCGAGTGGAGTGTTATCTCCTCGACCTTGTGGTATACTCGAGTATTACCTTTTGAAACTATGAGGTGTGCGGGCCCGAATAGGGGGTGAATGGTGGAAGGAATTGGTGCGAAGTGGTGTCTACAGTTTTTGGTTATCCTCAATGGTTGACGGAGTGTCAACGAGTACGATCAAGTATGGACATCGGAAACGGCCCTTGAGGGTCGAATGTATCCTTTTATAAATGGATGTTTGAATGAAGGCACTTATGCATATATGTTATTTGGCCGTATCATGTATTTGTGCATTTGGTACCTCACGAGCGCAAGCTCACCCCCGTTGCTTTGTTTTCCTTACAGGGACACTGTTGGACTCAAGTTTTGAAATGAGTGGAGCTAGTTATGTAGCTAGTTTTGAGTTGCTCCTCGAAAACTTGGAATTTTGATGTAAATGCATTCAAGTACTTTTGAAGTGTACAATTGAACCTTTCTCATGTATATATGACATGTATATATATATGTCCTTATCAAGTCTTGGATAAACTGCATTATGTGTTTGATGTGTTTATGCGAGTACCGGTTTCGAACAAAGGAAGAGCTGTATTACGTTATTTGTGTACCTGGATGGTGTATATCTTGTACAGTTTGGATTTGAATCCGTTTTGTATAAGAGTTGAGCTAGGGTGACTGTTTGAATTGGAATGGATGGAATTACACCTTGTACGGTTTGAATTTGGATCGACTCCTGTGTAATAGCTTGTGGATATGGTTTGTAATGAATGATTGGACTTGAATGGACGTACGTGTACATTCCGCAACGTTTGTGATATGTAGTTCTTGGAGAATTGATAAATATATTTGAGATTTATATTGTAATTTTTGGAGAACTGTAGTGATTGACGGAGTCCTGGCGAGAGCTGGGCAGGCGGCCCGTTGACCCCTCTGGTTCGCCTTAGGGGAAAATGGGGTCGTTACAGCTTCTCTTGTGCCTCAAGCTGTCGCTGATGGTAAGGTGCATGTGGAGACCTCTGCTATGGAGACCCATTCGGCTCCAATGAAGGGGCTACAATTGTGGCCATGGAGGGGGAAGGACTAGGCCAAGGGCCTACGCGCGAGCTTGAGCAATCAGAGGAGGAATTGCAGTAGCTTGGGGCGGTGGAGTGCAGGACAAAATCTGCTGGAGTTGGATAGTCTGCTGGGCCCGAGGTCCTGATGCGTGGGGAGACAAGTGCTGCAGATGGGAGCCTGACCATGGGGAAGAATGAGGAGTCAGTTGAGCATAATAGGTAGCAGCATGGGATACAAAAGGAGAGCCTCATCATGGAGCTCGACAAGGAGATAAATCAGGCCAAGGGGCAGCAACCGTTGCTGCCCGAACAGCTGGGAAGTGGTGATGAGCAGCCTTTTCGACCAGTGGATGCTGGCCTGGACAGGGAGGATGGATATTCTCCGCAGTTGGTTAGGGAGGCAGGTGCAGAGGAGAGGGAGATTGCAGAGATATATGTTGAGTTGCCTCCCGTGGCGGGCAATTTGTCTCTGAGGATGATTGTAAGACAGGAAGGTGTAGCGGAGGTGTCGGTCCAGGCTTTAAATATAGATACAGTCACTAAGGGTGTGGAGGGTTTTAAGCCAGGGAAGGTGTCCATGCGCGCATCCCCTCCGATAGACAGCTGCGGTCCGCAACATCATCCTATAACTCCTTCCAGGGTTTGTCTTACGATTAATACAATTTTCTGGAATATTCGAGGGGTTTCCAAATCCCCAAATCTAAGAAGATTAGTAACTTTAATATGGACGTTTGGTGTTAAGTTTGCTGTTATTTGTGAGGCTAAAATTGATGTGTCTAAAATTGATTTCATTCGTATGCATCTAGCATTTGACTCGGTTATTACAAATTTGTCGGACGACATTTGGGTTTGTTATTGCGCTCCTTTCAGTTGCTCAATTGTAGGTAACTCAAGCCAGCACATCTCCCTTTCTATTCAACATCCCTTACTTCCTGCTCCTATTATTTTTGCATTTGTTCATGCCAAATGCTCCTTGGAGGAGCGAAGCGACCTATGGCAGAATCTTCTGGCGGACAAGCCTAGCTCCCTTCCATGGTGTATTGGAGGGGATTTTAATGTCATTATGGCACCCCATGAAAAACGCGGGGGCCGGCCGTTTGGTGCTCGGGAGGGGTAGAACTTATGTCTTTCATGGAGGCGGCTGGTGTTTTTGACGTGGGTTTCTCAGGATCCAATTTTACGTGGTGCAACAATAGGAGAGGCAGAGCTAAAATTTTGAAGCGATTGGATAGAGCGCTAATCAATGGGGAGTGTGCTGAGGTCTCTTCCAGCATCTCTGTTGAGCATTTAGCAAAACATCCATCATATCATGCACAGCTACGGATTTCTTTTGCTACTCGCTTAGACAGCAAATCGAGGCCGTTTCGGTTCTTGAACGTTTGGTCGTCTAGGGCAGATTTGTTGGAAGTCATTAGAGGAGCCTGGGATAGACCAGTGCAGGGAGCCCCTTTGCGTGTGTTGTGCCAGAAATTAATGGCGTCAAGACGGGCTATCCAAGACTGGAACAAACTCACTTTTGGCAATATCTTTGAGAAGGTTCGGGAGGCAGAGGCTGCGGTTTGCAGGGCTGAAATAGAGGTGGAGGGCAATGCCCCTGAGAGGGCGCAAAATGTTCTTCATCAAGCTCAGGCGGACTTGAGCCAAGCGCTAGTCATCGAGGAGCAATTTTGAAGTCAAAAGGCCCGAGTGAAGTGGCTCCATAGTGGGGATAGGAATTCCAAGTTTTTTCATGCGGTGGTGAAGCAAAGACGGATTCAGAGCACCATCCATCAGATTAAAGATTCGCGGGGCGTCCGGGTGAATAGGGATGAGGACATAGCAAACGAGGCAATTGCGTTCTTCTCGGGCCTATTTTTTGAACCTACTATTTTTGCATTGGATATGCTACACTTGATTCCTCCCTTGGTCACGGAGGAGGAGAATAAGACCTTGGAGGAAGTCCCATCCATGGCAGAGGTTAGACGAGTGGCTTTTGCAATGGATGGGGAGAGTGCTGCGGGGCCGGACGGATTCACGGGTAAGTTCTTCACGTTCGCTTGGGATGTCATTGCTCAAGATATTTATAATGCGGTGCCGAGTTTCTTCTGTGGGGCTGAATTGCCTAAGTTTATTACCTCCACTTCCATTGTGCTTATCCCTAAAGTGGCAAATCCCCAGGATTTTTCGATGTTTAGGCCAATTAGTCTTTGTAATTTCTTTAATAAGGTGCTATCTAGACTTTTGGCTGACAGGTTGTCTGCCATTTTGCCGAAAATTATCTCCCCCCAACAATCAGGCTTTGTTAAGGGTGGGAATATCACGGAGAATTATTTACTGGCCCAGGAGGTGCAGTCGGGTATTGGCAAGGCCTCGTGAGGGGGTAATGTTCCATTAAAATTAGACATGTCTAAGGCATATGATAGGGTGTCATGGACTCATATTGTGAGTGTATTACGGCAGTTTGGTTTTGGAGAGCAATTCATAGACAGGGTTTGGAGGTTGCTATCTAATGTGTGGTTCTCAGTCATTGTTAATGGGGCCTCACATGGATTTTTTAAATCGGCTAGGGGGCTTTGACAGGGGGATCCTCTGTCCCCGGCATTATTGTCATAGGAGCTAAGGTGCTCTCACGGGGTTTGAATAGTCTTGCGCATCAATCCGGATTTGTGGGGTTTCGGGTTCCACACGGGTGCCCTCCTATCACTCACTTGGCCTTTGCTGATGATGTAATCGTCTTTGCGAATGATTCGTCAAGGTCTCTGAAGTGTGTTATGCGGGTGCTGGAGTTGTACCATCAATCCTCGGGACAACTGGTTAATGCTCAAAAGAGTAGGTATTTGGTGCCTCCGTCTCGACGCAGAGTGATTGAGCGGATCACGCAGTTTGCCAGGAATTCATTTCCAATTTGTTACTTGGGATTTCCCCTATACTTAGGTCGGTGTAGATCGACGTATTTTGGAGCAGTTAGCCAAGCTATCATAGGAAGGGTGTTGTCGTGGAAGTCGAGGCTTCTATCTCCAGGCGGAAAGCTGATCCTTATCAAACATGTCCTTGCGTCTGTTCCTGTTCACCTGCTTTCGGCAGCAGTGGTACGTAGTTCGGTCTTCTCGGTGATAGAAAAAGTTTGTGCAAATTTTCTATGGGGCTCAATGGCTGAAAAATCAAAGTTCCACTGGATACGATGGTCTCAGCTATGCTACCCCGTGGAGGAGGGTGGGGTTGGTTTTCGAAGACTTCAGGATGTCTACAGAGCCTTTTCATGTAAGTTGTGGTGGGGGTTTCGGACTGGAGCTTCACTTTGGGCGTCTTATATGCAAGCTAAGTACTGTAGGGAGCAGCATCCTTGTCAAGTGCCTCTCAGAATATCTGCTACGGCTACTTGGAGACGAATGTGGTATGTTAGTCAGCAGGTGGAGCTGTCAATGTTATGGCACGTTAATGGGGGCGCCTGTCACTTCTGGTACGACAATTGGGTAGGCAGTGGTGCTTTGTTTCTCAGCTCGACAGTCATCCCCGATCTCTCCTTTGGGGACTTTATCACAAATGGAACATGGGATGCCCAGTTGCTATCACGGGCCTTACCACCAGGGATCATCCCCTTAATCTTACAACATCCGATACCTAAAGGTGGTCGCGCAGTTGAGCCTGTGTGGATGCCATCAACATCTGGGAAATTCACGCTAGCGTCGGCTTTTGGGGAGGTTCGTCAAGCCTGCAACACTTCTGCGGTTCTATCACACGTCTGGCATTATCGGATACCGCTGAAGGTGTCTTTCTTCATGTTATGCTTATTGAGGGGAAGGTTGCCGGTAGCGGATGCCCTCTGCCAGCTAGGTTTTCAAATGCCGTCGAAGTGTCTTTGTTGTCGGAACCCATCTTGCGAATCTATTGAGCATGTGTTTGCAATGGGACAGGTTGCCATGGAAATCTGGGGATATTTTGGGGGTGTGTGTGGCGTGGCTGGTGCAGGATCCTTACTGCGAGCTCGGATGGCGGCATGGTGGTTTGTGGAGCAGCGATCGGAAAGGAGGCGCTTCTTGTTCAAAATTCTTCCTAGTCTCATCTGCTGGCATATCTGGAAGGCTAGGAATAGAGCCGTTTTTTAAGATAAACCCCTGCAGTCGGCAGATATTGTTCAGGCCATATTCAAAGAGGTAAAGATGCTGGCAGAGATTCAGTTTAAGGGCAAGGTTGGGGTCAATACGTTTCTTCAGTTGTATGAATGGTCCTCTCACCCAGCGCGCATGTTTGGCTTCCAATTGATACGTTGGGCAGTTCCACAGGTCGGGAGGCTAATGTTGAATATGGACGGGTGCTCAAAAGGTAACCCGGGTCTGGGTGGTGGTGTCCTACGGGATTCGTCAGGAAGCCCTCTATTTGCTTTCTCGACCTTTCTGGGGATTACCTCTAGTTTACGGGCGGAGACTATGGCCCTGTTGATTGGGCTTCGCGAGTGTGCTCAGAAGGGGTTTGGTACTGTGGGCGTCCAGCTAGACTCCTTGGTCTTGGTGGGGATTCTGCGGAAGCAGTGTCAGTGTCCTTGGCATGTCCCGCGGGAGGTGGGGCAGATTTGGCAGTTGCTGGGTGAATCCCCGCTGATAATTCATTGTTACAGGGAGGCGAACAATGTTGCTGACATTCTATCTAATGTGGGAGTAGCTCACCCTGAGCATAAAGTTAGGGTTTATGACCACATCCGAATGATTCCACAGATGGCTTGTGGTGCAATCCGGCTAGATAAACTAGGAGTGCCTTCAATTAGGAAGTTCAGGATGTTATAGGGTTTGGGCTTGCGTAATTTCTGCTACTATTGTAACTTTTGGTTCAAATTAATAATATTGCTACATTTAAAAAAAATAAAAACAAAAAACAAAAAAAAAATACATTTAATCAATAAAAATGAAACTAATAACAAATAAAGCTAAACTAAACAGATTTGGTATCTAAAATGCTAAAAATGTCTAAAATAAAATTACAAAACTAATGAGCAAACGTGGATAATAAAATAAAAATAAAAATAAATTAAAATTTTGGTATCTACAGAGCAATACCCTCAAATCGTCCGAGAAGTCTACCCAACCCCTTGATATGGGAAAAGGGGCTGGAGGAGTGAGAATGCATGACAAACTCGGAGAAACTCCATCAAGCGAAGTTCCGCCAAAAGAAAATCAGGGTAGGCGAGATCAACAAAAAAGGAAATTTCAAACTAGTCAAGCTGTGACTCCCCATATAACTTGTGGATACTGTGACAAGATTAACCACACTGAAGCCGACTGCTGGAGGAAACAAGGAAAATGTCTGAGGTGCGGTAGTACCGAGCATAAGTTTTCGAATTGTCCTAGAGCTTCTAAGGGAGAAGAAAATTCTCAACAACCTGCTAAATCTACTGCAAATCAGTCGAGTGCCAGAAGTAGTGATTAATACTGATGATTGTAAGAAGAATCCAAGTAGTGGAAACTTTACCATTGGGGGTGAACCTGACTTCACTCGACAAACAGGGATTGTAGTTTTACCTTAGTATAGACTAGAACTTTTGGAAGACAGTAATCGTTTGTGTAGGGGATGCCATCCTTTTGTTGGGTATTGCAACTTTGCATATCTTGATATTGTTGCTTCCCCTTTTCTTTTGAAACGATTTGATGAACTTATTATAACTTAGTGTAACTACTATGATCTTTTATGGCATATGGAAATTTACCTTACTTTTAATTGATTTTACAGTGTATATGGATATGTAATCAATTGCTACAAGCCCCTAGACCTGTAATAAAATCATGAACGGCACCTGAGAATAGTTAAGTTCAATAAGCGTGAGTTTTGAAAGGGAGAATTAAAAGTGGTGAAAATTGGTCATGGGAGAAGAAAGTATTTGGGATTATTTATAAATCAAGGTGTGAATTTCGAGGACGAAATTCCTTTTAAGGAGGGGAGGATGTGAGAACCCGAAAATTTTTTTATTTTTATAAAATATTACCGGGTTATTTAAATAATTATTCACTCATTTTCTCCGAATTATTTATTTCGACCATTTTAAATCCATTTAGATGGAACAACGTCTCTTTTATGTTTTTAAAGCGTTTTGTTGGAAAATTCACTTTTCAAAAAAATTCGTTTAGTTTGGAACAACGAGTGCACGCTTTTCGAGGTTATACTTGAATCGAGAGTGTATTAATATTGGAGAATTAAGAATGATTAATAGTAGATTAAGAAAAGTTAATTGAGGAATTAATACTCGACTCATGTAAGAACTCACAAATTTACCTATTTTAAACTCCTGTTACGAGCTTATTTAATTATTTATTTGGCCAATGGCTCCGAATATTATTTTCTATCCTTATTAGACCTAAATACATGGAATTATAGTTTCATTATATTTTTAAAGTGACTTGTTTCAAAAATTAATTTTTGGAAGCTCGTTTAGTGAAAATAGTGAAAACATGTGTGGAAATTTTAATCGATCGAGGGTACAATAATTTTGAAAAATTGGAGACTTGTACAATGGTCTTAAAATAGGTAATTTTATGTTTAAGTACTCAAGTGATAGTCATTAGTACTATCGTTATAAAAGTTTCTCGGAGGTCTCGCGTTATCGCGTTTAATTTGGAAATGCGCGTTTTTACGCGCGCGATTAATTGAGGAATTTTAGATTATTAGTTTAGACTATTAAGAATGAATAATATTAGTGTAAATGAAAGTACATTAGAGGTTTAGGGCACTAGTGAAATGAACTCGAAAGGAATTGAGCACGAAGCGCGCGTGTACGCGCACTATCCTTAGTTGACTTTTGGAGCATTTTGGGCCACACATTATTGAGCTCCTCATGGGTGCATCATACTAGATCAAAACCCTTCAATTTCTCAACCAAAGTGGCGTGCAACATCTCTTCTTTTCCCTCCATTTCAGCCGTGCATCTCAAAGTGCAAGAACCAAACTTGCTTTATCAATTTTCCTTCATCATTTCTTCACCAAATCTTCTCCAAATCACACCAAAATTTAACTACACTTAACTAATCACTTGGAGAGCACTTTGAGCTAGGAAAGGAGGCTGCTCTCACGGTTTTTCTTTGGCTCAAGAAGGCCAAAAATTTCTGCCTTGAACATCTAGTGAAGTAAGTGACGATCCAGCTTTAAAATCTTGATTTATGGAAGTTCTATTGCACATATAAGCTCATGCATGTAAGTGGGTAGCTTTATTTATGTTGGATTTTGGTGTGTAGGCTCTATGAACTCCCACTTTGGTTGATGAACTGATTTGGTGGTTGATGATGATAATTATGTTGGTTTAGTGCTTAAATTAGTGGTATAATATTGGGTTATTGTTAGAAACCCCAAGATGGTGCAATGACCAAAAGTGACCATTTTGCCCCTCCCTTGTTCAAGCACTTTAATGCCAAATTTTGAGGTTCTAATGGTTTGTTTATGTTGTTTACATGTTATGTTGGTTGTGTGAAAAGTTTCATTGAAAAATAACATGATTTGATCACCCAGATGTCGGAAATTCGAAAGCTCGAAAATTTGGAATTTGAATCCCGTCACTGCCCAGGCAGTCTTCTTGTTTCGGCCATAACTTGTTGCTCCGATGTCGGAATCGAGTTCCGTTTGCGGCACTAGAAACTAGACATTCCTAGCTTTCCGTTGGTATAAAATGCATGTCCTGGTTCTACTTGAGCTAGCCAAACCATTAATTTGAAATCCACTGTCCTGTTTCGTTGCTTCCTGGAAGGCAGCTCATGAGCTGCAACTTAATGCTCACGAACGAGCTGGTTATGGACTGATTTTGAAAATGGTTTCTTCTGAGAAAATGTATCCTTATGAGTCTATTTTCCAATGCCACCAACCACACTAAAGTCTGAGTTGAATTTAGTGATTTATCATCAAAACTCAAATCTGGTCTGGTGAAGGAATACCTTACATTTGGACAGATTTGAACTAGCAATGATTTGGGACTTGTTATCCGAAATTTCTTGGTGTAAATCACCTATCAAATGTACCTTGGACATATTTTAGACATTACTTACTGGAATGAATCATGTTTGAGTCGTTTCTTGGCCAAATGTTTGGAAAACGGCAAAACGGAAGCTCAAAGGCAGCTTAGCCTTCGAACTTCTTGCGATTTCAACGGTTTTGTTAACCGACTTCCCATTCATGTTTTTCTATGAAATTTGGCAAGGGAGTGGTCCTTATATGGTAGTATATTCATACCAAATTTGGTGCCATTTCGAGTCTATTTTGCTACCAAACTAAAGTCCCAAAATTTGGAACTCAAATCTGGAAACTAGCTTAACAGTTTCGTTTTTCCTCCAACTTTGAGCGACCGTATCTCGGTGTTCAAAACTCCGATTCTTGATCCGCTTGTTCTGTCCCAAACTTTACTTACAACTCTAAATGAGTAATAAATTTCGGAGGCTGGTTTGCAACGTATGAATTTTACCGAATTTCCAAAATTAGCGAAAAAAAAACCAACACTGGCTCAACCCTAACTAACCTGAAACTGTAACTTTAAGCCCATTTTTGAATGCCTTCCACTTAGATTCATGGAAAAGTGTATTCTAACAACTTTTAGTACTTTCAAAGAGGTTTCCAACGGTACCAAGTTTTCCAATTTTGGTCTTACAAAAAGTGAGATACGATTTTTCAAAAATTCATATCAAAACAGAAATTTTCCGAATTCCAAGAAAATGGAGTTTTTCAAGTACTCCTTATTCCTTCGATATTATTCAAATGTTTTATCCTTGATTTCCATGATGTAGACTTAATTTCTCTTGTACTTTGAAACCCCACTTGAGAGTCTCGATTTAGGATAATTAAGGCTCATTTCACGAGATTTTTCTAAGATTGTACTATGATACGATCTTCTTCAATAGTAGGGATTGTGAATGATAGACTATTACTATTTGTTCAGGCGCACACGAGGACCTTCAAGAGGATCCGACGGAGGACGCTTGAACTTCAAATTGAACCTACTTGCTCTTGTTACTTGGTGAGTGTCAAGTGCATGACTAATCCCTATATATTTGAAAAGTATCTAATTCAATACTTGAATTTAACTTGTCGAGACGAGTGTGTGCACTTTATCCCACTTGCTTTCTTTACTTGACGTGTTACT